CAACTTTGTAATTATTAATAGTACAAAAAATAATAGAACTTATAGAAATAGAACACAGAAGAGACTACCTGTACACAGTTCTGTAAGTAGCAGATACTCAGATTTCCCATGGTCAGACTGATTCTTGTCAATAGCAGCTGCTGCCATAAACTGTATGATGTTTGAATGGCCTGACAGCTTTTTCTGGAAGACTGTCAAGTTACTTCACCAAACTAGATAAATTAATTACAAACTACAGTAGGAGCCTGATTTATATTTTACTTGCATCACAACAAGTGATAAATGGCTTAAATGTTTTGTTGGTGACCTCTTTAAAAAAATATTATAAACACAAAGTTACAAGCACAAAATACAACATGGCAATTTTCAAAATTCCACCTTTAAGTTTTATGTGATCATAGTATCAAAAAATTTATACATTTTAATTTCTTTGTAAATATATGCAGCCTATAATACTTCACCAAAAACAATTTTTCTTGTAAAGGTGAGACAATGAAACAGTCTGGCACTACACAAAAGTTTTGGTTTATGATTTGGCACACATTACACAGATTGTTCTTTCTCAAACAACACAAATTATGAAATAAACTTAGAAATAAACCAGTACAAAATGTAGTGATTAATGTAATTAACCTACACTTGATTTTTCTAGTGATTGAGCTAAACCTCAAAGATGATAGAAATTACAGAATTAATCAAAACTTAGGGTATAAATGACAAATCTACTATCTTACTACTTTCTAAAGTTTTTATTTTCTCAAAATGACTTCATACAAAAAAAAAAAGACAAATGTTGATTTAAATACTTATTACCTTACAAACTATTAAAATTTCAAAACAAAAACTGTAAATAGACGTAAATAAGAAGACTACATGTATTACGTATAATTCAAGGTTCATTATTTACATGTAACACTCTGCTGTTTTTAAAAATGCCATTTGTACTGAGTACACTATCTGAAATGTAATGCAAGATTTCCTACCCTAAAACTATATGCATTGTACAGCAGTGTATATTCAGTAAATATTTACAGAACTGTGTGTGTGTGTGAACTACATGATCCATTATAGTATTAATTCTTATGGAAAATATAACAAGAGCATCACAAAACTCCTAATTGTCCTATACTTTACATCTATAGACTATGCAAGTTCTTAGTGATCATGCTGTTTTCATTTAGCTAGTCCAAACTGAAACTCAAGGTAAAATCTAACTTATCTAACACTCATAAAATCAGTAAAGCACAAAATATGGTTTTACAAAAGTACAAAAAACAGAAGCTTTACAAAAAATATATGTGAATAACAGCAAAACAGAAAGGAAGAAACATAGAAAAGATCATGCCATCACCACAAATTTACTGGTATTATAATACTCCAAAACATAAGAAAATTGTTACTCCTATCAAAAATATTTCAAAGGATTTCACAAGAACACTGATTTTTAAGGATACAAGTACAGATATCTCTTGTAAAATACTTCTGCTTGCTTCTTCATCAGCTGCCAGAAGTCTCTGAAAGATTCAAAACAGGAAATGCACATAAGTTTAGACAGATAAGTTTTTGATTCAATCCCCCCCATAATGTATACCAAGATTTGCAGAGGTAAGGGACTTACTCAAAAACTAACAGACAGGTACTTCAGAAAAGTCATCGAACACCACGAGCCTTACAATTACATGTATAAAAAAAAAAAAAACTTGTTCATTTTAAAACTATGCAAACAATATACATATATATGTGTAAATAAACAGATATACAAACCACATTCACCTTCCACATATTTTCTTAGCAGCATAAATCCTCTTATGTGTACAAGAAACATTTTTCTAAACAAAGCTTTGTTACTCAAGTTCATGTTTACATATACAATTTTTGTTCTCTGAGATTACTTTTTTCTACCTCTACAACACGTCTGTATATTTGGCTTCAACAAATTGTAGATGTGTATGTAATCATCTGAATACTTACAATGAGACAGCAACTTTACTATGTATAAATAACAAGCAAAAACACCAATTCTTTTTTTAATGGCAGCAAGATGTTCAGAAACAAACATCATTTACTTGTGATGCACACTGCCATACAGCTGCATTTAAAGGTCAAACTAATTTTATTTTTGTATTCCATTGGAAACTCCTTTGGACAATGGTAGTGTAGTGCAAGTCTTGAGCAATACTGTTATGAATAGTATACTCATTTTAACTCTAATACTGACAGATGATGGTAAAAAATGTCTAAACATAAATCACTTCTAATTATGTGATTAAACAGAATAAGAAATGAAAGACAGAATATTACCAGTTAAAATGTTTCACTACTGAACAAGATCTCATATGTATTTTAAAACTAGTAATACTGCTATAAATCAAATTTGAGAGTATGGTTAATACATTTGAATTATCATTTAACAACAGTTTTTTCTCCACGTAACAATGCCTACAAGTTTTCAATCGACACTGACAGATTATATTGTATTTTTATGTGGTAGTATTACTTTACAAACAAACCTGTTCTTTTTTAAATCAGTTATTTATCATTTTACACTAATAATATTTTTTAAATAAATATGAATTAACATAACAATGTAAAACATAATACAATTAACATACTTTTTTAATCTCCTCTCCTGGACATCATAGTTCAAGTCTTATGCAAGAAAAAGAAACATTACTTATGACATTTTAGAGCAAGTTTTTATTTGTAAAACTATAATTGTTGACAATAAAAACTGTGGAGAAACTGATAAACATGTAAAATAGGATCTGAATACAAGTTTTAGGTAGTCTAAGAATGCTGGTAAAACAAGACAAAACATTAAGAATTTTGATGTTTCAAAATCTTAAATTTTAATCATCAACAATTTCACATGGTGTATAATTAATTAGGCCTTATTCGAAACATCACGATAAACCATTTGTACATATTAAAATGGCAGTGGAACTTTTGTCCAACTGATACCACTGCATGTGTGATAAAACTGGGACAAGTTTCATTACCTGCAAGTGCTGGTCATGAGAAATTATACCACTGCACGTGTGATACAACCCAGACAAGATTCATTACCTGCAAGCACTGGTCATGAGAAATGAAAATTTAATTATTATCTTGTTATGGAAATCTAACTGGAAATAATGAATGCTAATGGTTTAACATTCTGGGAGAAGAATAACACATAAGGGACAACACCCAACAAAAAGAAAAACTACAAAACTGTAACACAGCCCATCTTATACAAAGATAACAGGAGGCAATACAAACAGAGACATACATAAGAGTGTCCAAACTTATCATACACACACAGCCATAGCTAAATGAATAAGGCAAGCCCCTGTGCACATTCCATGTGGTAGAAGTATAGCTGCAAATAATGGTTGAGATTGAAAAGGTCAATTGTTAAGTTGCCAGTAACCCTTCCTTTTGGAGATCATAAACACTTGTGAATAAAACTAGAACAACTGGAGCTGGTTCTAAGACAGTTAAAATGGAAAGGGGCGGTTTTTCAGTAGGGAAAAGTCAATCACTTCTCAATAAATAATGGCTGGAGATGGCTTGAATGGGTAATGAAG